CTATGAGTGGATTGCCTATAGACGTAGACCTCGTATGGACAAATATAATGAAATATGGAACTCATTTATACAAAATACACTAGGTTAAAAAAGAATGATAGTTATATAAGTGTATTAGAAATTAATATATACATACCTGAATAATATTTACATTAGATAAGTACATATAGAATTGTAACTGTTAACTGCTGTAACAAAATATATTATACTATGTTTCTTTTTTTCTGTTGTTTTTTTCACTTTTTTAAAGCATTTTTATGTGTTGTTTTTCTTTTCTTTGAGAACGTACGTGCTTGCATTATAATTATCTTTGTGTTTTGTTCCTTTTCTTCTTCAGTCATTTTAAAAGCAATAAATAAACTTAGAGCTCACAACTGGAAATGACTATTCAAGGAACAAGTCCTTCTGAATTCTGATTAATAGGAGTCATTAAGCAAAGGGTTATGGCGACAGCACCAGAATTCTTCCAAGCATTATTGCTTTCAAAGATGAACCTTATATATAGGCAACTCAAGACCATTAGTTTCTTCCTCACTTTCTCCTGACCTTAGGGAAAAAAAACCCTTATCTTTTCTGATCCAAACTTATCTTGGATACAGTTTACTCAGCAGCCTCTGCCCTCATGATCAATGTGAGAATTCATTCTGATGCCACTAGGCAGGTCTAATTTTGAATCAGCTAGGTTTCTGCTGTTTGACAGAGAACCCTAGGTGACTCTTGCAACCCCCCAAATTTTGGCAGTGTCTATCAGAGTAAAGAAGCAGCTAATGAAATCATTAGGAACGCCGGTATTATAGGTTAACCGTGAATCTGTATCCAATCTGCATCCTTTGGTTTTGGCTTCTGGTCCCACTTAATATTTATATTCTGCTCTGTTTTGTCTGGGGTCTTCTGACTGCAATAAACTTACAATTTAAAAAAAGAGTACTCTATTTAAATCAACCTTCTTCCACCTAAGTGAAGGTCTGATCTTTGCTCTTCATCACCCAGAAGCCTCTGCCACTGTGACTGGGGAGTGCTGGGAGCTGAAAGTCATCCGGCTGGTGGGGGCTCCAATTGAGGAAGGCCCATTTAATTGAATTGGAACAGATTCTGCTGGCCTGACCCACTACTTTTTTCCCCTTGAAATGTGCTTCACATCTCCCGGCAAGTCTCTCAAGGGCCAAAGGTGCATATCTGATAACACATTTTACCATCCATCCATCCATCCATCCATCCATCCATCCATCCATTTCATTCAATTTATATGTTTATATATAATTAATTTAAATTAATTGGTTATCAATTGGACCCTAGGAGCATTTAAACCAGTGTTTCTCAACCTTGGCCACTTTAAGAGGGGTGGACATCAACTATCCCCGATATTCCACGCAACCCCGCAGGGTGCGGGGGACC